AAATTCCAAACAGTGTGTTTGCGAGTTATTCGGAAGGTTGGGAATTCAGAGTGCCATCCGGAGCAGATTAAACAAAGTTTTCCCATCCGAACGGTGTTTTCATTTTATCTCTCCAAAAGGGTTTTTTTTTTGCTTCTTTGTCATCTTATAGGCAAGAAAACAAACTGTTACAGACATAGGTATGGGAAGGGTAAGCAGGAAAGTTGATGTAGGTATAATTAAGTGTTCCTTAAAGGTCAGGTTCATGGTGCTCTTTGGCTGAGTTTAATAAACACTGCGATTCGTCTGTAACACTGTTTTTTGTGAATAGTTTAAATAACACACCAGGGCAGAGCAACATTTACATTTTTTTGGTTTGCCACAAAACATTCACAATGCAATGTTTCCCGACATTAAGCATTGTGGGCTAAAAGAATGCACTAAATTATCTGTTTTGTATATACAAAAAAAGCACATGAGCTCTCAAAATTTAAATAACCATGAAAAAGTCATATGTGGTTGCCCTTTGAAGGTTTTGACTCCAAATGTAGGAATGTGGAATTCGTCCTGTCCTGGCCCGGTGTTACGAAAAGAGAAAAGTATGGGCCTCTGTACACATGAGCATTAAGAGGCTTCAGCAATACTAAAACAAACATTGGGTAAAAAAAACCAAGCCCTTTTAATGCACACACTTTTATTTGCACACAAAAGTAGAAAATACATGTTTTTGACCCCGGAATGAATGAAATTCTATGTGCTCAATAAAAGTGGGTATCTTGAATAAAGAAAATTAAACATCGAATATTGAACATGTAAAATTTGATTAATTCTGGGGTCAAAATAATACATTATTTACTTTTGAGTGCAAATAAAAGTGTGTGCATTGAAAGGCGTGTTGTTTTTTTATTATCTTATTGTTCTGTGTAATTGTTGCTCTCGCATGAAGAGGTCAGCACAGCGGCCGCTCCGGCGTCATAACGAGCGGCGATAGAAGCGCGCCTTTCATTGGTCATAAGCTGGACAGCAACAGCCGCTGTGATTGGACCAGGCTTTTGCCGTTGTAGGTGGGCATGACCATTGATTTAAATAAGGGGTGGTAAAATGTACTTTTATTAATTAGTAACATTTTGTTAAAAACACGAAAAGGACCGCAATGGGCGGGACCTGGACTCTTGTTTTTTAAAATGAAATCTTGAATTGTCACGCGAGGAGATATTAAGCGTTAAAGATTAAGAATAATATATAAACAGACAACACGGCAAGTACAATAAAAGTATGTAAAAGCACTAAAGTACCATCACCTCATACTGCAGTATAGGTAATTTAGATAGATCGGACTGTGTCCGTCCGCTGCTCGCCGAGCTGCATTGGCTTCCAGTTACTGAACGAATACATTAGGTCGCTCTCATTGCACAACACATTCCTGCCGAGGGAGCTGGTAGGAACGTTGGGTTGCTCGGTCAATGGCCAGGGTCAACAACGGCGGCACCACGTGGTGTATTCCGCAAATATGCCCGACTGTGAGGGCGGGCACAAGCCGGCGTGAGTAGGTTAAACGTTTTATAAGGGCACCACGGGGTGACCAGCCCCTCCACACCCAGCCCCCACCCTCCCCACCCAGCCCCACCCTCCCCACCCAGCCCCTCCCCACCCTCCCCTCCCCACCCAGCCCCTCCCTCCCCACCCAGCCCCTCCCCACCCTCCCCTCCCCACCCAGCCCCTCCCTCCCCACCCATCCCCTCCCCACCCTCCCCTCCCCACCCAGCCCCTCCCTCCCCACCCAGCCCCTCCCTCCCCACCCAGCCCCTCCCCACCCAGCCCTTCCCCTCTCCACCCAGCCCCACCCCTCCCGTTTTTGGATGCACGACGGACGGACACAATAATCCCCTGTGGGTTGGTGGTGTAACCAGGAGGTTCCTACCAGTAAAAAGTTCCTGTGCCGCAAATGAACCACAATACCTTGCTGGTTTCGTCCAGGAGCATACAACTTCACACAGTCACCCTCGCAGCGACTTTTGGCTATAGCCAAATTAATTTCTTTAGAACTGCTTTTTGTTCGCACATACAACAATCCTTATCTCCGTAAAAAAAAAACGGAGTCCAATGGCCACCGTTAAGGATCAGAGTGCCTTGGGTAGGAGGGCAGTCGAGAGGGCAGGGCAGTCGAGACGAGACCGCTGTGCGGAGGCGGCTATCCCGGTTCATGGGGATCGCGGAGGAAGTGACAGCTGAAGCGTACAGGCCCAGGGGCGTTTGGCCGATGATGGGAATAGGGGGGGCCCGTGTGTGAGAACATGACTGTGGGGGCGTCAAAACTACTTCCACATGGTAGCCTGTTGCTTTTGCAGTCTCACTTTACGTTTGGGGGGTGGGGGGCGGGGTGGTTCAGAGCCATTATAGCGCGTTGCTGACTAATTTGGTAGCGGTGCAGCGGACGGTTACATAATTTTTGAAGGCAAAGTGTGCTGTACGGCACTCTTTGTTGTAGATCAACGATAAAGAGTGTTCTAATCCTGCTGCTGCTCTTGCTTTGTTTTGTAAAAGCGCCGTTATAACGAATCACGGTGGTCTGTTTGAACAGTTTGACAAATCTCGCTCGTCGATTTTTAGTGTTGAGTTCTTTCTCTTACAGCGAAGGTCTTGTACGAATAGAGATTTGAATAAGGGATTTTAGAAGTTGGACAAATAGGCTGCGCTGAGATGCTCCTTCGACTCTGTTAAATTCGTAACGCTTATTACTTCAGCCTTTAAACTAGGTTGGCAACCACCTACAGACAGGTGGTGAAAACGTAGCTCTTCCTTGGTCTTGTCTGTAAATGACAAACACCCTTCATTTTAATGGCAATGAATGAGAGTTGTGTATTTATTTCCCGCTTTCCAAGACGCAGATTTAAAAAAAGGCGTTAACCTTATTTCCTCGTGTGGAATCGCGTGACGTCATTTATGGACGGCCCCTTACCTCCCTTTAAGAAGTGTCGGTTGATGTCACGAATGAGGTCATCAGAACGTTAACTTTAAATCGCTGCAAAAAAGTGTTCCAAGGAGGGGGGATGCAAGGTGCAGCCATGCAATTGCTTGCCAACTCCACTGCTGGTGGAAGAACCTCTGCTGGACAGAGCTATTAAGAGATCCTTCCATCAGCCTTTAAACTAGGTTGACAATCACCTACAGACAGAGAGCTCCGCTCTGGTGAGAGTGGTCCATTCTTTCCGTGCTTGCCAGACCTCCTGGAAGGTGTGTGAGGACCCACAATGTTTAAACCACTGCACGCCGATCAATGAACTGTGGTGTGCTCGTTTTTTCCTGCTGGGTGGACAGAGGCGGAGAAGGGCTGTAGGAAGCCGTGTCCATCGGTTCGGTTTCTCGTCTAGCCGGTTAAAAAAAGGAAATTTCGCTGTTGCATGACTCCATTCTTATGAATGTAACAGGATTACAGCCTCAGCATATCTTGATGAGTAATTTAGTTTAAACTTAAAATATCCCACAAATGTTGAAATATGTTGCTCGTGTTTTTTGGTGTGAAAGGTGTTTGCAGTGCTTTCCTTTGCAGTGCTTTCACCGCCAGCTTCTGAATGCCAAAGTTTATCTCATTATATATAAAAAAATCTCGTTATCTTACTTATGTTGATACTAAAATTTACAAAACAAAAAAGTGCACAGTTCACAAGATCACATTAGTAATTTAACCCAGATAATTAGAAGCAGATGTTTTTTATTTTATTTTTGTCCTTCCACGTCCCTCTAATTAGCACTGTTGGCTATGTACGTTGCGAAAGAATTTCAACATACATACGTCTTAAAATATAAATACCATCACAACCATATAAAACATTCAACTACCACGATAACGTTGCACCTCCATAATGTTTGAGTTCTTCTTGTGAAATCAGGCAAATTGTTAATTATAGAATGCTTGTACTTTGCACGTGCATTCCTACATACCCAAAATGTGCTCATTTATATAACAATATACTCGTTTTTTTATCTCATGCGCTCAATACCATGTTTCGTGTGGCTGACGTTTTACCAAGGTATTAAATTGCGAATATTGTGTTCATCTGAATGGCCTTGGGACCAATTTGACGCTTTGCGCTTGTGGACAATAATTTTGAGCTCATTCCGTCACACACGTTACACGATGTGCACGATTCAGAAAGAATAACACTGCTGTGCACAGTTTTAGTCTCTATGTTATGGTAGAACGCCAAGGTCTACATTTAATTCCGACCAGTACTGTTGATGGCAGAGTTTGGATGTTGCGTCTGCTGCCAGATCTGTAATGTTCTAGAGAGTGCAACACGTGATACTGCTACGCCCTTGCTGTGAAGTTAAATCTTATTTTTCTTCATCAACGCCACTGTCCACGACGATCACAGGAGTCTCCTTTACATATATATAAAAAAATATGCATTAGAAATATCTATATATATGATAAAGACACCTCCTGTGGGGATGGTGGCTTTGACTCATACATAGGTTTTTACCAAGGTACAAAAACCTAGTATATGCATTTGCAATGGAATAACACTCGACACTGGTAATCTGCCTCTGAGCCACTCAGAGGCAGGTCACAGGTGTGCTTTATCGCTACCAGAAGTGTCGGAGGCGTTGGTGAAAATTCCACATTGGTATGGCATGGTCTGAGTTCAAATACTAGTGGAGGGAGTCAACAAAAGTAATCTCTCCAGCATTGATAAGATTGGTACCACTGTGGGAAGCCAAACATCATATCTGTTATGCAGACATGCTTTTGAATTCAGTTCTTTAAAACTGCTTTTTTGTGTTTAGTTTGTTGTCCTTCCCCTGCACCTCCAATGAGCACGGTTGGTTACGTACAGTGCAAAAGAAGTTCAACATACAGTATGCATAAACTGGTACCCACGATTTTAATGAGCACCACAGCTCCCGTATTTGGTGCTTGTACGTGTGTTTTATTGTCGGTCCGAATCCAGCCATTGCCTCAAGCCACCTGTGGTTTTAATCCATGCTCTTTCTGGTCCTCCCTGTGACTCTTTGGTCAGGTTCAGCAGCGTGTTCCCGAGCCTGAACGTGGCAGTCAAGCGCCGGGAGCAGGCCCTGCAGGAATGCAAGAAGCTCCAGGCCAAGTTGGAGAAGTATGAGGAACGTGAAAAGACGGGACCAAACATTGCCAAGACACATCAGGTGTGTTCATTTGTTTCATTGTGTGCGGCGGCCTTGGCAGCAATTATATTCCTCTTATGTTATCAAAGACTCAAAGCCTTTGGCCTTTGAGTACCGATGCCTGCAGATGTTGCTAGAAATGTTAATAGATTTGCAGATTCATATGAAGTATGTTTTGGGTGATTTTGGGTGATCATCATAAAAACCAAAGTCGCAAATGAATGAGAAATGTGGCCCTGATCCAGTGGCTAAAATTCCACATTCCCATGAAGGAGGCCGGGTCTTATAGCACAACTGTTCTGATTTTCTACCAAGCGATATTAATTTTATAGACCCCAAAGAGATAATGAGCTGAGTTGACTCCCAACTAGGATTAAATTCCCAACCTTTCAATTGTTCAGTAATTTAGCCACATTACCACACAGCCAGATTAAATAACTTTTTTTTATTTTGCTACGTACGGTGCCAAAGAAGTTCAACATACATAGCCAATTAATGACTGCTACAGACAAAAGTATGGGAAGATGAGTGACAAATTAGATGTAAATAAGTGTTTCTTAAGTGTCAAGTGAAACTTCTTTTTCAGCTGAGGCTACTAACGACCAGGATGCGCTCTTTGATGCTGTGTTTATATTTGAATAGTTTAAATATCACAAAAGGGGAGGTTCAAATATATGCCTGATTTAGTTTGCCACAAACATTCTGAACACGTGTTTTTACTCCTGTGTAAAGCACTGTTTATACATTTTTGTGGGCTAGAGGAATGCACCAAACTTATCTTCTCTGCATACAAAAATGTATATTGTTAGAATGAAAATAACCTTAATTTTTTGTATCTGTGGTTTTCCCATGGAATGTGGAATTTTTACTCCTGACTCCAGGGCTACCAGTATCGAAAGGGTATTGCCTTCCGCTCATTTGATTGTAAAGAGACTTACCCATGAATAATCCACATACAGCACATGCATGTAAATGCATCGATCAAAAATGCATCAACATGGGACGTTACAGTTAGAGGATTTAAAGAAATTACGAACATCATTGAGCTCCCGTGAATGTAATTAAAGGACATTTGGAAATTGTGGATTTCAACACCTCCAGAATTGTTCTCTGAGTGACCGTCAGTGCCATTGTAACCACAAGAATGCCAAACACTCGGTCAGCCACAATACACTTCTACATTTGTATGGTCAAACGAGATTTCACCATCCGTTGTTTTCATACAAAAAAAACCAGAACACTTTTTTCATTGCCTCGGTTTGTTGTTGTTTTATGTTAACGATAACGTCAAATAAGCCCTTATGTCTGCCCTCGTGTATTTAAGTTTGGTTGGTAACTTCTTGAAACTTTTAGAGATTGCTCCATTCGAATGAGAAACATCAATACAATAGTATGAAGAAATACTGCCCAATCTTTTGTGTGGGGGGAAGAAAAAAATACCGCGCAGATTTACTGTAATGTTTATGAAGACTTTGATTTAAAACAACAAAAAAAACCCAAAACAAGTCTGAAATGTGTAGACTTGTAGAGTTAGGGATTATGAAGCTAAGCAGCTTTTTTTATTACAGCTTGAGCCTGACACCTCTGAATAGTGCATTTATTAATGTAAATGCCTTTTAGTCATAGGGGTTGTTTGACCATACTTTACTCTACTGATCAGTGCGGATTAAAGAAGGGTACTGCCAGAATTAATACTGGTAGGAACGAAGTTGTAAACTGAGTGTACCAGCCTGCAATAGATTAATGTGTCCGTCCGTCCGTCCCCTTTCAATACTTTAACGAAGTGAAATCTCGTGCTGTTGGGTGTAAAATCAGCAATAGACAGCGCAGAGACTTGTCCTACCAGCCCACCCTGCAGGGACCTGTTTCAGATATCACTTGACACGTTGATGAGAGGGACACCACAGTGGCATGATGTTAACTCCCTCACCCGGTATTTAGGAAGTCATGGGTTCTATCCTGACCCTGACGCCTGTATATTTGGAGTTTGCATGTTCTCCCTGTGGTCACGTAGATTTTTCTCCGGGACCTCTGTTGTTTTCCTCCACGTATAGAATCGTGCGTTTAGAGTATTTGGCTACTATAAATTTCCACGTGATAAACCACTTCGTTGAGCTTTCATTTGTGGCCAGGTCGCTTCTGAAAAAGAGCTACATAGCTCAGTGTGCCTTATCTGGTAAAAATAATTATCGTTTTAGTTAAAATTGTACACTTATTTTAGCTGTGACCGCGAATAGAACTCAGGCCACCAATTTCAGGGCACAATGTGCTTACACTGTAACCACTCAACCCCAAAGAACCGTTACATTGGCTTCGTAATATATTGAAAATGTTCGTATTCTACAATAGTCGCGTATTTATCAGATGTAACAGATATGAATAACATTTAAGGATTTGTGTATATGAAATATAAATTCATCATCATTTGTCATGCTGCATTTACTGCTGAATAAAGGCCTTTGGTGTCCTTGTGATGCCAATATCCATCTCGCTCTTCGAACAGGAACTCATCTCATCGACGTGTCATCCTTTCTCTGTCTTTCAGTCGTAATTCTAAGCATAAATCTGTCGTTATTTGCGTACTTTTTAGCTTTTGTTCCATTTTCCTTTGTCAATGTCTGTTTCTGATCAATAAGTGATAGTATGCGAGAGTATGCACTGGTTAAACTGTCTCCATCGGGCACATTGGTATGTAGATTTTTGTTATCCAAAAGCAGCTTTTGCGTAAGCAAGCTCTTCTGTTGTTCGCCTCTTCATTTTAGAGTTTTAATCTCAGTCCACATTTGAACGATTGCCCTCATTTCTCAGTTAGTGGCCCTCCCAATGATTATTATTACAGCATCAGTGGCACCGTCCGCGGAAGCCTTCTTCATGATGTACATTTAGCATTGCACGAAATCACAACGCGTTCTGAAAACGTGTTAATTTAGACCTGCGATAATAATTGTGAATGCAACCGAGAACGAATCTGTACAGTGATATGTGGTGGCAGTGAATTATCAGTGCCGTGCGTTTCTCGCAGAGCACGCACACGGCTCCTCCCCCTTATAACTGGGAACTTTGATGACGTGCGCCGACACACTCGACAAAGATCCCCCTCTGTAGCCTTAACAGACTTTTGGGGCAAGCACTGTTAGTGAGCACCTATGAAGGCCGGCACGGCACACGAAAGGGGTGGGTGGCCAGCACCGCGCCCGGCCGCCTTTGTCTCCCCAGCGGAGATGTTTACACACCGCACCAGGTACTCATTTGAGGCTGAGTATGTATGTTGAACTTACTTTGCACCGTACATAGCCAACCGTACAAATATATGTGTATGAGTCGACCTAGGGGAGGTCCAGAACCGGTTCAGATAATCGTCACTGGTGTTGTCTGTGAGTGGGAATCGAACCCTGGTCGCTGGGTTTGTAGCGCAGTGCGCTAACCGTTGCGCCACCGCTCCACTCTGTGCGTTCAGATATGCCACATGAAATATAAATATAAATAAAGTACCTAAGAGCTCAAAGATAGCGGCATGAGAAATGAATCGATTGAGTGTTGGTATGAGTGTTGATATGAGTGTTCTTCAGAATTTGTAGATATTACTATTAATTGTGATTCTCTTGAATTACTTTCTGAATTGTTTTTTATCGTAAATTAAACATGTAATCTTCTTTGGTTATTTCGGTAAAGTCACGTAGAATGAGAATAAAATAATAAATTGATCAAATAAAATAACAATAATATTCTCACGACGTTTCGGCCACAACACAAGCGGCCTTCATCAGGTGAAGGGACGAGACTGTCTGGTAGGACAGCGCTGGAGTGAAAAAGCCATGCTCAAATCACGACCTTTAAGCTGTGTGAGAAGAAACAAAGCGCCTTGACAAAGGAATTAGCATATAATTTAGCATTGGAATGGCTGAGTGATTAGCTTGTGACTGGTCACAGAAATGGCTATGTTAAAGTTAAAGCATACACATCCGCAGAGGCACCCCTTGACAAAGGAATTAGCATAGAATTTAGCATTTCTGTGACCAGTCACAAGCTAATCACTCAGCCATTTCAATGCTAAATTCTATGCTAATTCCTTTGTCAAGGCGCTTTGTTTCTTCTCACACAGCTTAAAGGTCGTGATCTGAGCGTGGCTTTTTCACTCCAGCGCTGTCCTACCAGACAGTCTCGTCCCTTCACCTGATGAAGGCCGCTTGTGTTGTGGCCGAAACGTCGTGAGAATAGTATTGTGTTATTTTATTTTATCAATTTATTATTTTATTCTCATTCTACGTGACTTTACCGAAAGAACCAAAGAAGATGAATCCTTGCAGTCACGAAAGCTTTAAATCGAAATAAACATGTAATATTATGCAGTAATGAAATTGTGTGATATTACTTTTAAGTAATTGTTTAATATTGCTATTACATGGTTTTAGCGAATTTTTCAATTACTTGGAAATTACCTAATTAACTAATTGTGTAAACCACATAGCAACATCACGACCCCCCCTACCGCCCCCTCCCCCCACTAGCAGACTCTACGTCTGTGAATCATAGCGTCTTGATGATGCTTATTAGAGTGACACCAATTCCAATTGTACTCATAATTATAAAGTATTGGAAGTTGCATTGGGTTTCATTATTACATTTTTTATCTCTCATTACTCACCATGGTGAACAATATCATCTGTGGATAGTATGCTCAGCTCACTCAAGTTTACGAGTCAAAATCCCAGTCACGATCATCTCAGCCCATGACTGTGTGCAGAGCGTGCAATTGTCGCCCTTTGTAGAGCCACTGAGTACGGTATTTGGCCTACTCTTTCACACGCCCTACGTCTTGGAAGAAGTGGGAGTAGCCACACTTTATCCCACCAACACACTGCCTGCCAATTAACGAACTGTTTTGTGAATCCATTTATACTGCTGGGTGGACAGAGGTCGAGGGATTTGCCAAACGTGCCCCGTTCCGTCAGCTGTTGCGCTGGGAGATCGGACCAAACCGGCGGCCTCTGGATTCCGGTTCCAGCGTGCCGATAACCGTT